AAACGTCAAGTTACTCAACTCACTCAACTCAACTCGTCTCGACTCCAACTACTCGACTGTCACATCTCAATAACCCTCGAGTGGTTTTCAATTGTCTCCAGAAATAAACGCATTTGCATCCCCTACACACTCACACACTCGCACGCGAGTCGTCTGTCCCAATCCCATTTTAAATGTTAATTTTTAACGCATTGTAAATTTTTCTAATATTTCATAAAGCCAAAAGACTACGAAACAGCAACAGGAAACGCTGGAAGGCACAGCGAAGATTGAATGCCCTTCGCATTGAGACAGACATCTTCTGATTCCGAATTGCGAATCACTTGCCTTTAATGACAATTTCTTATCCAATGTCTATACTATTTTGGAAATATTATTTACCCTATTAAGTAGAAAACTTACATTATCCGGCATAAGTATTGATATCCACCTTAACACACTCCAAGCAAAGGCATATTCTCCACGAATACCGCGCATCCCGCAAATATGTGAAAGGGTATTTCAAAGGTTGACAGGCATGAGCAAACCTTTTTGCGTCGCCGTTTCCGTTCCGTTCTGCCTCTCCATAACCCGAAGCACTTGAAAAAAGTTACACACCCCGGCCACGTCGTCCTCCATCTCCGGAGCAGCCTCGTGACATCATCCAATTCAAAAACTTAAAAGTAAATAGATCCCCAGAGATGGGCACCATGCCACATTCCCACATTCCAATTGCCAGTGCGTTCCGTTGTCTTTGCCTGACTGTTCTGTTTGTCTCAAGTGACATCGTTGCCAAGGATCATCTCATAATGTGGCAAGCGTTTAGCCCCAGCCACCCCGCACCATCGTATAGGATTGGAAATGGGAATGGGAGTGGGAATGGGAATGGGAATACGATTGCCAGTGGGAGTGGGAGTGGAAAGGGGGCACTGACGGATTGGCCTGGCTGATGTTTTCGGCTCGGGGATCCCAGCTCCGAGTTCTGAACTCTGAGCACGGAACTCTCGACTCGACTGGGCCGCTCATATCCTTCGCTCCAAACCACTTGACATTTTCACAGTCTCGCATCCATGTCAATTTTGCGGTTTCGGTTTCATGCATCCATGTTGATACCAGTGTGTGCACAGCTCCATTCTCCAGATGAACGTGGAATTTCAGCTTGGATTTTGTGGGCACACGGAAAGAAACGATGGCTAAAACGTTCGGAAGAACATTCAAGCAGCTGTAGTTGATGTAGTCGCGTTTGAACACCTTGATTGCCCCTGACACCAATATATTTGGTCATGTGGCTTCGCTGGCATTTGGACATCGTGAATTCTGGATGAAACACAGACATTGGCTTGCCACAAGTGCCTAAATTCATAAAAGCAACAAGCCCTTATACAGAATTGAGATAGTTTTAGTATTAATTGACGTGTACTATAGTAGTAAATATCAATTAATCCTCTCTGCAACTGCAATGTTCTAAACCTAAACCTCTAGCCGCCCGCCATAGCCTCTTTAATATTAATGTACGTCGAAGACAAAGAAGAAAAAAGTCAAAATTTTAAGGTAGGTTGCCTTTTTGGAGATATAAAAACAAAAATTCTACAAATTATTTTGAGTTACTTACTTTTTCATAAGATCAAATACAATGCAATACAATTTTTCAAAACCTAGTTGTGGTGTTTTTCTATTTATGCAGACGAAGAAAACAGTAATTCGATGTTACGAGCAAATACTTATAGATTTGAATAGGATTAGTGTAAAAAATATTTTAATCTGGTAATGTTAGTTAATAAATAACACAAATTTATTTATTTATTGGTTAATCAAATGAATTTTAATTCTAGAAAAGATATACAACGGAAAGTTCTTATAATCGCCATTAATTAGGACGTAATGGCGATTTGTCCAAATTAAAAAAGTAGGTTTTTGAGGACCAGGAAAATTTTCGTTACTTTCTGAACAATATAAACAAATATACAAGCCAGAAAAACAGTCAATGAAATCATGGTGAAGTCAAGGGCAAGGCTAAGGTTATCTTGTTAAGGCCGATTTCTCATTGTAATTATAATTTGGTCCTAAAATTTCGGAATAATACATACAATGTTTTCATTTGACTTCCACGATACCCTTCAGCAAATTATAAAACGACTTTCGAGAAATTTTGTTATTTGCATGAGGAAGGTAAAGAAAACCAAGTCACTTAAACCGATGACTTTTGGATACGCAGACACATTAACCGGATTCGCCAGATTTTATCACATTCAGCAATGTACTAACACCGTATATGAATTTCCAATAAAATAGCTTTTCTTAGCTGAAATGGCTGACTTTAACAAGTCAGTTAAAAACAATTTAACTAAAAACATGGAACATTGTCGAGAAAAAGTATATTCTTGAAAATTCCGATCAAGAAGGTTTTTTTTTCAAAAGAAAATTTTTTTTCTTGATCCTAACATTAATCAAACGCTATTATAATATAATTGCAATTTTGTAATGCTTTTATTTTGTAAACTTTGTTAAGCAGAAAAATGTGAGTTTATTTTAAGAATTACTCAACTATCTTTCTCCAGGATTTCCATTAGTTTTTAACCGAGGCGGGGTCGGAATTTGTTTCAAATTCGGATTCAAAACACCAAAACTGATTAGAAAAGTATACTTACTCTAATGTAGATTTGGTGTTACACAGTTCTATTAATTGTCTTTTAGATAAGTTCACATATTTGTAAATACCCATGACATTAAAAGCAGTGGAGAAGTCATTTCACATTACATTATTCTTTATTTAACATATACGGAAGTACTCCAACACGACTAACACTTGTTTACGATTTCAAAAATACGCTTTTATTTTTATAAAATTCAGAGGACTGAATTATTGGAAAAAGAATATGAAAATCTACATAAGTTTGTTTTTTTCGACATACACTTATACAACTCAAGATATAGTTACTTTTTACGATTAAAAAAAATATATTTTCAATTTAATAACTATATAATAAAGATGCTATAAGAACAATCAACAATTTTATCAGAAAATCGATATAGCTCCAATGTTTTTGAACATATACGCAAGTAACTCGGAATGTATAGCCTTTAGTCATAAAATAGCCGCCACAAACAGTTCTTAATTTGGTGGTACTTGTACATTTGTGTCTTATTTGCAGTCTTGCAATGTAAATATCAACTTAGCGGGTTGCGGGTTCAGAAAGGTCCTTTACCTATAAAAGATTCGATATTAATTTTGGTATGCGGGATGGGAACTAAAAAGGGGAAACTGCAGATGCCAGTGAACCTGGACAAATCTCGAAAGGTAAGCAGATCTTATGCGTAGATCTACTACTACTACGTATATATTTTATGGGCTACTATCTTTGGCACATATACCATTTGGAATACACCATTTGGCCGGGCATAATTAGTCTCTTAAAAGTACGCCGTGTCCGATGTGATTGGAAAAAGAGAAGCGCAGAGCGCGGTGTTAATATCGTTGCGTGTTCTGTAGAATCGTAAATATGTGAGAGCGGCGCACGAGAATGCGAGGTTCGTACTCCCGTCTACTTAGGGTCTTTCTATTTGGCCACTTATCTGTGTGTGTGTGTGTGTGTGTGTGTATATGTGTCCCCGTATCTGGGTGTGTGTGCCTGAGTGTGTAATCCGTCCATAAGTGGCCTCAAATGCCTATCCATAATGATGATGATGATGTGGTTGCCGCTGCGACCAATAGTTGGTCATTCATCACGGGGTCGGCGGGGGGATATGGGGGGAGTGCGGAACGGTATGCCAAGTAGTATATATAGTATAGTACGGTTATGGTGTAGTATGGCCTGGTCGCGGAGCCGAAAACAATTTATGCCGCATGTCACGCCTTCCCCACAGTGGGTACCAATGTGCGCGAGCGGGAGGAGAGACACTTTCGAGGGCGTTTCCCATTATAGATCTCATCAGACCAATATTATACACATTCGAATCTGGGTCCGTTTGGAGAACCGTGTTCATTAGGGTGGTCCAAGCAAAAACCTTACTCTCACCATTTAGTATTGTTGTTTTTGGTGTGCAAAAATGTTGTCGAATACCAAGAATCGTATTATTGTATATGCTCACGATGGTCTTAAAGTTTTCGTAAAAATTACTCATACGACATGTAAAGTCAGTTGGAAAAAATATATTTGATTTAAGGCAAAAGTTCGTAAGAGTTGTAAACTTTGAATCCAATGAGCAGACCCTAAAACACATTTTTTCTATTAAATTCTTCAGCTATAACTTAAATGCACCAACGCGTATGGTATAAGTGGTTAAGACAATTATATGTAAGTCTGGTCCACCCTAATGTACATATGTAGTGGATAAAGGATTGGGGATTTCCACCCTCAAGTTTTTTTCACAATGATAACTTCCGACTACGCATATAAGCAATGCCTTTATTCGAAAGATCAGTACTAAAAATTAATCATATCGCTATACATAAATCGAAATCGTCTACAACATTATCGAAAGCTTTTAATGGAGACATTATATATTTTATTCAAACTGCAGAAATTCCTATATATACTAGGAATATCTATATATTTAAATTTATTTATATATATTTATATACATATATTATATATTTGTATACATTCCAGCTCTTATAATGTCCAATACTCCGTTCCATAGGTAACAGAATCAAATAAAATAATAATGAAGAAGTGCAGTATTAAGCCACATTTGATGATTTATTTCATAGTTTCCAACACAAATATATTAATTATTGATCAGCATTTTAAAAGACTTTTGGATGTCAGTTTTGCAATACTGCTATATTTATTGACTTGAAATAGTGGGAATTTGCAATCGCATAATTACACACAAAAGTATTCCAATAAAAGCAGTTTTTTAGTACCTAATAATACCTACCAGTGCTACCTAAATATGTATGAAACAGATCACACGTATTACTTACACATAAAGAACCCACTTTACTTCTTTTGCAATTAATCCACTGAAACATAAAAAATACGTATCCGCCCAGGGCACCAATAAAAAAGCACATTTGATTACATGTTTCTTCAATTTTGCCGTTGTTTATTGTTAATGAAAACTTAAAATCTTGTTGTAATACAGTACACAATCGTCGGGAGGAATTTTCGTTTGTGAGAGCAATAACATTTCGTTCACCCACGATCATCTATCAACCTTTTCGATGGATTTCGGGGAGGGGGTTTCTTTAACACAAGGGATATGTTTCAATAGAAGTTTGCTTGTCGTTAGTACATCCAGTTATACAATACATAGTTTATTATTGGCTACGAAAAAAATTGTCTTAAAACTATTTAATATATGCATTCATAATATATATTTGTTATAAATATCAATACTTCGTTGTACACCGATCGAGGGCCCGATTGCCGCCTCTGCACCGCCCAGTCCGCTTTTCAGACGACCGACTTGCGGATCCGATCCTGGGATCCCATTCACATTCACACTCGCACACACCCATCCAGCCATCCAGTCATCCACACACTCTCGCACACACACATTGAGGAACGGATTGAATACTATACACTTAGATGTCGCACTACGGTATACATAATACATTATACATACGAAAAAAAATCCATATAACACACGTACGAGCAGAAAAAGCTTAGTTTTGGAGCAATTCCAGTTTACAGGGGGGGGCGAGGGAGGAGGGGGTAGCGGTGGGGCAGGGGCGTGCCTGAGGAGGAGCGCCAGCCATTTAATGGTCCAGCTTTTGGCACGACCCCACCCCCGCCCACCAGCACCCCCCGAACGCATCCTTAAAGTACGAAAAAAAGAAAACAAATTTGACTAAGGAAATCATCTAGAGCGGCATCCCGAGCATCCCGAGCATCGAGGAGTCGCGGGCCTAGACGGAAATCGGAGCATTCGTGGCCGCCGGCGACTGCTGCTGCGGCGCCTGCTGGTGGTGCTGGTGGCCCAGGTGGTGGTGGTGGGTGGCCAGGTGGTGCTGCTCCGGGTGGTGGGCCAGGCGGAGGTGCTGGTCCGGGTGGTGCTGCTGCGCCTGGAGGTGGAGGTGGTGGTGGTGCTGCTGCTGGTGCTGCGTCTTCAGCAGCATGGAGCGGTACATCTCGGACAGGAGGCTCCACATGGGCGGCGAGTCCTTGGCCAGGTCCACGGGCGAGGACGACGGCGATCCCGCCGGCAGGAAGGCGGAGTGCGGGGGCTGGCTGGTGGAAGCGGCGGCGGCCGCTGCGGCGGCGAACATCTGGGTCTGGAGCAGGCGCAGGTGGTGCCGCTCGTCGAGGTCCAGCATCTGGCGCCGGCCGCCCAGGTAGCCACTCGCCAGGTCGCCCTCCGGGTCCAGCTCCATCTTGATGCTCGCCTGCGGCAGGAGGACGGGGTGGCTGGAGCTGGAGGAGGCGGCGGCGGTGGAGCAGGCGGAGCTGGAGGCGGTGCTGTCGTGGCGCTTCCGCTTGCCCAGCAACTGGTCCATGGAGAAGGCGTCGCTGGGCGAGCGCTTCTCGCGCTCCAGCTCCTGCTCCTTGTCCGACTCCTGCTCATGATCCTGCTCCTGCTCCTTGTCGGCCTCCCGATCCTGCTCCGACTTGCGGCGCTTGTGCAGGCTGAAGTCGAGCGGCTGGTCGGCCCGCTCCTCGTCGGCGGTGGTGCTGCTGCTGCTGGCCAGGCTCAGGCTGCAGTGCATCTCCTCGTCCTGCTCGTGCTCCTGGTCCTGGTCTTGATCCTGCTCCTCCTGGTCCTCGCTCGAGGCAGCCGGACTGGAGCTGTGGGCCTGCATGTCCACGTAGACGAAGTCGCCCTCGTCCTCGGCATCGGCGTCCGGCTCGTTGTCCGCCTCCGGGTCGGTGTCCTGGCAGCCGGGCAGCAGGCCCAGCCCGTGCAGACCCGCCTGTCCGCCGAACATGACGTACGGGTGGTGGGCGTGGTGGCCGTGGTGGGCGTGGTGCGGCGGCGGCGGGGGCAGCAGGCCAGGGAAGGCCACCGGGAGGCGTCCGGCGACGGCGGCCGCCGCGGCGGCTGTGCCCGGCGAGAAGACCGGGAACTGCTGGGCCGTCCGCCCGTCGTGCGGCGAGATCTTGCGCCGGATGTGCGGCGAGTGGAGCTTGGGATTCGGGTTGGCGCTGTGACGGTTGCGGGAGCGCCGCGAGCTGAACACCATGTTGCAGCCCTCCACGGTGCACTTGTGCATCTCGCGCAGGTGCACCGCCGAGAAGTGGATCTTGAGGGCGCCCTTGTCGCAGAAGGTCTTGAAGCAGATGGAGCACTGCACCCGCTTCTTGCCCGTCGCCGGGTTGATGAACTGCCCGGCCAGGTTGATGGGCGGCGAGCCCCAGCGCCGTGGCTTCGAGGACGAGCCCGATCCGGAGCCCGATCCCGATCCGGATCCAGAGCCACTGGAACCGCCGGGCGAACTGGCCGGGGAGGCGGCGTGCGGCTGGGGGAGTGGCACCGGCCCGTGGGAGTGCACATGCTGGTGGGGATGTGGGCCATGGCCCAGCAGATAAGCCGGGGACATGAACGGATTCATTATGTGCTCCATGTCGTCTGTGGTGGCTCTGTGGCGGTGCTGCAAGCAATCAGAACGGAATCGAATCGTTAGAAGTGTCAATCAGGGAGTGTCAATCAGGAAGTCACTGAATCGGTCAGTCCTAATCGAAAGTCGAAAACTATTGCTAAATGCCAGGGTGGCTGCTGTTGGATTGTTGGATTGCTGGATGGCTGGACTGCTGGGCAAACCAGATTGCGCAACTATTCGGAATCCGAATCGGAGTGGGAATCAACCTTATCGTCCAAAGTCAGCAGGGCAAACTGTGGACATTGGCTGGGGACTGGGCACTGGGCACTGGGGACTCGGGACCTGGTCACGAGCATGGGCATCCACATTTGATGCGCAATTAGAGTGGGAAAAGTCAAGACGGTCAAATGACTCGTGGGAGAAAGTTTGTTCGGGGCCCAATTAATCAGTGGATTACGACGATTACTTTGACATTGCCATGTTCTCACTGCCACAAGAACCATTCCCCACCATCATGATTCGAAAGAAAATGATTAAAGAAAATATTTCGTATCTCGACAAAGGATTGTCGCCTCGATTTTCGCTGCGAATTTCTGAGGAGAATGTACATATGACAGCATCGCCAGGCCAACCTATAATCTGTACCATTGGAAAGCGGTCCCAGGCAATAGCTCAAGTGAGCAGCCGAATTCCCAAGTGAAAGCCCCAAGGAGCTTAGCCAACTTTGTGCAAATCCAGCCAGATTTGTGGTGAGCCGCACACACATGTAAATAGCCCGGCCATATATCGGTGACACAGGCGTCGGCAAATCTTTTCAAGTCAGCGGATACAGTAGAGCGTCTCTTAATCCATCGCACTGCCTATTAAAAAAAGCCTACATCATATACAAACTTGTAACATAAAAATACAATACAAAACGTTGTATCAAAAATATATTATTAAGCTTAAAATGATTTAGTTATTTAGCTGATATAATCTCTTTTCAAATAAAAGTGTCTAAAAAGACATACACATTGTTTTTTTTTCTTTTTTTCTTTTTTTTTTCTTTTTGGACACTAAGAAAATTGATCATTTCCATTTCAATTATTTATTCCCATTCTAACTATTTTATCTGATAGATCAAAAAGACATTACATTTTCAACTAGATACGATACATTTCCAAAAGGAGGCCTAATTCTCCTTTGGGCTACTGAAGTCCGCCCCAGCGAGGCCCCACTGTACACGTGTAAGTGCACATTGCCTCATTTACTTGAGCGAAATCTTTTACAGCTTTTTCGGTTCTTCTGGCCATTAAAATCGCCTCTGACAACGTCGACGGCGACGACAACATGCGGCGATCAGTGTCGGACTTCGACTTTGGATCCGATCAGCCGGAGCCCGCCAGAGCTAGCTTTTTATTGTGGGCTCCGTTCGCTACCGTAATTGTGAGCAGTCGCAGTCGCCGTCGCCGTCGCAGTCGACGTAAAAGCGGTCCAGGGGCGTCACAAGCCGGGGACAAATGCTGGGGCAGCGCGATACGAGATGCGGATGACGATGACGATGTCGTGGCTGGCTATCTGGATTCGATCTCAAAAGTCGAACACACCAGCTTGCCCAATGCCAGCCGAAGCAAACCACCATACGACTTTGACTATGACTATGGGCTCACACACAGATACACACACAGATACACACGCAGACACAGACACAGATACAGATGCAGGAAGGCAGGAGATGGTCGCTTTTTATGGGGCTCATTAGTAACGATGACAACAATAGCATTAAAATGAGTGTATGTACACGGCGAAAAACTCAATTGTCGAGTACTTGAGCAGATCAGGTTCTGGCTGTCAAAAAAAAGGGGTTTTCACCTTCTCCGTTGACACCCAAATTATGTATCGAAACGGAGGGAGCAATTTGTGATACAGTCCCCGATCTTTCACTTGGAATTATAATGCCCGAGATTATAGACTTTTATGTCCTGCTCTTTATTACAAATCTGTAATTTGGTTCTACTACTGCTAAATATATTTTATGTAACACGGAGAAGAAGGCTTTTCCGAGCAATAAAGTATTTAATCTGAGTCAACAAGATCTTAAGAACTTGAATTTCGCAAGCAAAAGTTGTAAATTTATAAATATTATTATTATACATATTATTATTAGAGACATTTAAAGAACCTACAAAATGTGCTCTATATTTTGTTGATATTCCGTGTGTTTATAGTGCAAATTATGCAATACTATTAACCACTCTGCGATAACCCATTGGATTTTACTAGTCTACAACATGCAGATGCTATCCCAAAACAAGTTGCTCGCTTTTCTCGCAGTGCAGTCGCTGGACAGATCGAGGTGAGTATGCATGTACATGGGTAATTATTTTTGTCAAACGCTTAAAATGTCTTAAGCCACCGCAGGAGAAAGGGGAGGGGCAGGGGAATGGGACAGGGGCAGGGGCAGGCAAAAAACCAATCACAAGTTTTGATGGCTCGGACGAAACGTTTTTTTGATTATCGGCAGTGGCAGCAAAATGTTGAAAGTCCCCAAGACACAACCGAAGAATTCAGAGAGCTGGGAGCTGGGAGCTTGGATCTTGGATCTTGAAGCTGGGTGATGGAAGATGGAAGATGCCGAGATGCGAGCAATCCGGCGGCTATAATTGCTGTTGTAGTTGCTGTTAATAGTAGTACATTATAGTAAGCAGCAGCTCGAGGGCAGGGGAGCGGCGGGTCCGATTGTCCGATGGTCCGAAGATGACAACCCCGATGGCCGGACCTCAGCGAAAAACAGAGCTCGAAAGCCGCAGACAAAAATCTTAATTACAACTTTGACATTTGGCGTTTCCCCGAACACCCGACATTTTTCGTATATTTTGTGCGGGCTAACGCATAAAATAGTGGAGAAAATAGGAGTACGAACATTGGGTTAACAAGCTTTGACATTCGTTCAATCTCCACAAATAATAAAGAGCGGCAGAAACTACACACAAATTAATCGGAAACAACAATTAGCCAAAATACTCAAGTACTATGGCCTTGTTTTTAAACTGTTTCAATCCAAAGATAGTGATTTCAGTTACTAAAACCGAACCGAATATAAATTGTATAAGTATAGTTCACTTCTAAAAAACAATTGAAGATGACTTTAAACTTGATCTCCATTCAGCAGTTAATACCAAATTATATAGTTTCAACACCTATGCAAATAGTTATCCAATTCATCCAAGTTTTTCCCTTCAAAATATCAACATAATCGACCTGCCGACGGCAAATCAATGTTTCAACATCGGTACATACCTTTTGCTAAATTAGCAGCTAGTTTCGGTATTGAGTTGTGTTTTGGTTGCGCTGGGGGTTCTATTAACTCTTCACTTTGTCACAGGTTTGCCATTAAAAAAAGTTTTTAAAAGTCGTTAATCGTAGATGCGGTTTTTCACTGTTTGCGTCGCGTTGTATTTGTTTTCGTTTTGATGCCGTGCATTTATTTTCGGTGCATTTTGCTCGATATTAAAAAAGTTGGTCGTTCACTTCGAGCGACGCACACACACACAAGCACATACACACGCGGCAGAGAGAAGTGGACGCGGATATGCGAGGCGAGTGCGGAGATGCGGATGCGGAGAGCAGGGACAGCGAGAGATCCACTTCTTCGAATGTCGTGGGTGACACTGATTGTCGATTTGTCGTTCCAGCCACGAAATTGTGCGGCGACTGCGGCGCGGCAGCGACGCCGGCAGAGCGAGCGACAAATGCGGCGACACACGGACACACACGGACGCACGCGGCACACACACACGCACGCACGCGGGGTGGGTGACACTTGGCTCTCTCTGTCGCTCGCCTGCCCTCTCGCTCGCGCCACCTGGAAGAGTGTGAGAGAGCGCGCTATTGGAATTGGCCTTCGTCACATTGTCGTCGATGGGTCATTAGGCGGCCTGCGGGAGCGAGCGAGAGGCCCGCCCGCACCGCAGGCCGTTCCGCTCGCACAGTCGGCAAAGCAGTGCGAGGCAAGAGCGCTGGCCGCTCTCTTACCGCTCTCTGTCGAAGAGCGCGCTGTGCGTGCGAGCAGTGCCGACGCTCGCGCGGCTAGTGCCCGCCCGGTCGCACACTGTCGTCTGAGTGGACGAAACCGTTTCGTTGGGTTGACACATGCGACACGTGTAGTTGTGTGCCGCCGACTGACCACACACACACACAGAGGCACGCACCGCCGCCAGCCAAAGAGAACGCAGCTCCGCTCTCTCCGCCTGGTGGTGTGAGTGGGAGTGCGCTGGTGTGAGTGCCCGGCGTGCACTGGTGTGACAGAGAGAGCGAGAGAGAAACGAGTTCGCCGAGAGTGAAATGGCAATGGCCACAGTACGTGTACGTAATTTGTCGCTGCTGCGACGTCACTTTTTGTCTTGGCTTCGCTTCTCGGTTCTTCGGTTCTTTTAAATTTTTGTCATTTGATTTGATGTCTTGTCCACTGTGTGTTGTGTGCTCTCTGTCCGTCCCTCTCTCGCGCACACGAATGGCCGCAGCGAGCGCCTCTCTTTGTTTGCGATTGCGCCAGCTATGTGTGTGTCTGTGTGGGTGTGTATGGGTGACACTTTGGCAATGGGGGCGATTCGCTTCGATTTTTTTTCCTGTCGCCACACAGCACCAATGGAATTCGAGCACTGGTGACAAAGAAGCGTCGCTATCGCTGCTCTTCCCCCTCCCCCTCTCCGCGACCACCACACCCTTATGTAAATCGCTCTCACGGACGGTGTGTGTGTGACTGTGTCTTATGTGTGCGCCTATGTACTTCTCCTTGTCGTTTCATTGTCCTTTTCATTGCCGAATTAAAATTATTCCCACCCACACAGTATGTATTTGCCAGACGTAGGAATGTCCCACATAAAGATACACACCCACACACACGGACGCACACGGGCAGACCAACACAGCTGCACAAGTGTGGAAGGGAAGCTCTTAAAGAGAAACAAAAGCTTTGTGCAATTTATATTTGCCTTAAACACAAAAAGGAACAAAGTCCGAATCCCCGACCACCAGATAATGTTGCATACCCAAAAGGCGCTTGCCTCACCGTACATCAATGGTAAATTCTGGGAAATACTCGGCATTGCACAATTCGGTATTTGTTGCGACCTATGTACTTAGGGAATAAGTGTATGGAACAAGTGTATTACTAAAAATTATTTAACATTTGAAGTTCTATATGAACAATTCTTAAGAATCATTTTGCTAATTAGCTGATTTTATTCTTAATTCGTTTCACAAATATATTGCATAGGCTTCCAGATTCGTTTTATAAATTCATGTATTTATCCATAGTGTAGCTGTTAAAGTATTTGACTTTAAATTCACCCCACTCGGGTGCTAAAAGATTGAAAATGTTTTATTTAAAATGCGTGCTACAAAAAAATGGTTTTAATAACAGCACCCGCAACCAAATTTCCCTGTGGAAAGATGATTATCGCTTTTTTGTCCCAACTTAACAGCATTGGAGGGCAAATTTTCATTTAATTTAACTGAATTTCATCATTCACAATTGGTTTACGTATTTCATTCATATTTTCACGAGTCCTTGAGAATTAGCTTATTCGTGGAATTCATACTAAAATGATTAAGTCCTACAAATGTGTGCATTTCGAGAGAATGTTGACTTTTTAAAGGGTAAGCAAAAACGGAGGGCTTAATTTATTATTATTATATACATCGAACATTCTATCTGAATATAAATGGTCTAAAATTATATATTTTTGTGGCTATAAAAGCAGAGACTTTGTCAATTTCAGAAGTTTCAGATTGACTTAATGGTAATCACAATAATGTTTTTTACTGATTTTCGAAAAAGATAAGATTTTCGAAGAGGGGTTAAAAAAATTATGTTTAAAAAATGACAATGCTTTTTTAGAACTAATTATTTTTATATATTATTTTTATTTATTGAGATACATATCAGTACCGCATAAATGTACGCTTATGTCTTTCACATATGTACAACACCCGGAACCAATTTGGCCGAAATGACTTTTAAACGCTCAAATCGCAAATAAAAATATAACACTTAATTATCACAGCCAACTTAGCCATCAAAATCCGTTGGTGGTGTCATGGCCAAAGTTGCGGAACAACAACATTATATCAAAAGTTTTGGCATGAACTCTTTGTTTTGAGGAGTTAATTTTTATTTACATCAGGGCATTGGAAAATCAATGTGGTTCAATTAAAACTGAGGTCCCGGCGATATTGGCATATCCAAATTGTTGGCATTGCGAATGAATTCTCATTCAAATTTGTGTGGCTAAGTGGTTTCTTTGAACAACATTTTTAAAAATATAAAAAAAAGAATGAAGTCGTGTTTTACATAATTGCGTGGTATGTTTTATGCGCTTTTTGTATGTGAAACGACCGAATACATTTTCTACTACCCGTTTTTATCCCATTTCTTAAATATTGCGTTTCTCTTAACATCACAGATTATAGCCACAATGATTTTTTACTTTTGGCTTGCAACGGAAGCTAGGCCCAAAAGTTGAGAACTTGCTACGAATCATATTTTAAACATTGTTGGCTAATGTTTATTGGAATATTGGGCTAACATTGGGCTATTATATTTGTCATATCGACCAGCTTGTACCAAAATCTTTATATATACAAACAAATGGTGTGAAAGTTGTTTATTAATTGATTAATTGAGAACGGCTGGGCCGATTTGGTTTTGATTCGGTTGTTTGTAATTGCCAAGAAAAGGGTTTTACAATATAATATTTTGGGAAAACCCCAGTGGGCAAAGTATTGCAGTAATTATGAAGCTGTTTACCATGAACTTACTCAATTCCTTTAAACTCCATTCTCTTTATATTTATTATGTTGTGCTTCATTTTATATGTATCAGAGTGCAAAAAAAAAGCAAAAACTCTAAGATAATAAATAGACAATAATTTACACTACAACTTACAAATATATAATTTTTTCAGTGGAAGCAAAATAAAATATTCAGTTCCTTTTTGTTTCTACAGTTTTAGTCTTAAAACAGAAATATTAGATCTGTTAACATAATAGTAAATTAACATGTCTAAATAAATTTTAATTTTCCAAGTGGAGCACCTATTTATTTCACTGATAAATGCATAGTTATATTCCCTTACATAAATGGCTTTAATATTAATCAACCTTTCCAATTTGCCCTTAGACTTAGGTTTCAAATATTAGTATCTAATTGCTCTACCTTTAGGTTGGCGTTTAAAGTACCTTAATGAACCTACAGATATCCCCAAGTTGTGGATGCAAATAAAATGTTTTCCTCAGAGTGGAGTAGATCCCAAAGTGGGTTGATTCGAGAATAATACCTGATACCATTTATGGGTAAAGCGGCCTTTATAATCCCCAGTGCTGAGTGTCACTTTTCCATTCGGCGCCGCAAGTTGCCTTTGAATAGGAACACCAGTTATTGATTGATGCGAGTTCGGAGGTGAAAAGTCAATCGCTGCTTGGGACGAGTGCGAATGGAAGTGTCTTGCCTTCTGTCCTTTTTTTGGGGATCGGGTCGTCCGATGTCGCCCCTGTTGTTGGCCAGTGCTAGTCAACACTTTCGCTTTTCCTTTCTCTTCTATTGTGTAGCGAAAGGCTTTCATTAATCAAAAACGCTCTTCGCTCGTTTCTCCGCTCCATTCCATTGCGCCCCGTCCAGATCTGATAAATAATTGCTATCTTATTATGTCGATTGTCGTTGCTGTCGCCGCCGCTCGGCTGGAATCGAATCGTCGTTTCACAGAATCTGAATCTGAATCTGTATCTGAGTCTGAGTCTGAAGTCCGTCACTGGGCCACAGCCGTTAAGAGATGCGGACCAGCAAAGTTCTTTATTAACACGGCTCGGCTCCCTTTGTGCCTGAACCGAAATCGAAACGTAATCGAGGTCCGGGCCGAGACGGAATCGATCAATCATTTTTCACACTTTGTCGTGCAGGTTCTCATTCTCATTCTCAGTCTCATTCTCATTCTCGATTCTCGTTTCTCATTTCTCGTTTCTTGGCCAAAAGGTCCAAAAGCAGGGCGAACATCAAGTGGGACGAGCGAGGCCCCGTGGATTACAAAGATCCGACTCTATATGCCATATTCATCTCATCTCCCACAGCCCAAGTGGTGTACTTGACTTCAGGTCAATAAATCGTTTCGGATTTTTGTTTCGGGTCTCTTTCCTCTGATTTCTTTAAATACGATTTACGCTGACACAAATGATATTAAAAATCCATTAATAATTTCGACCCTGCATCGATTTCGATTCCGAGCGATTCCTTACCCACACAAACGCCCTGATTCCCTGATTCCCTGATTCCGAACCAGTATCGCCACCAGTATCCCCAGCCAAATATCAACCTGAGCCTGAGCCCGAACCCGAAAATGGCTGAGAGGCAAAGGCCATGGGAAGTTGTCCAGTTCAGTATTCAGTTCTTCAGTTCTTCAGTTCAAACAAAGGCGTCACAACATCTCACATTTAATTACATTTTCCAGATCAGCTCGGGTCCCCTCGATCCCCTCAGTCCCCGCACTCGTCCACGCCCCCAAGCTCCTCGAAAGAAAGGACAGCTCATTAGTTTCAGGCGATTTACCCGACAAAACTCCAGCAACTGTTCATCAGTTGCATTTGGATCTCAAACATGTATATGGAT